AGGGGCCATGGTGGCCTCTGGAAGCTGAAAAAGATAACAAAAAGATCTCCCTTTCAGCCTCCAGAGAGGAACAAAGCCCTGCTAATGTGTTGATTTTAGCCCAGTGAGACCCATTTTGGAATTCTGGCCTCCAGAACTACAAGGGAATATATTTGTTCTAAGGCACTCTGTCTGCAGTCATTTGTTATAGCAGCAACAGACATCTCATGCGCATGGCTTGTCTGCTCCCCTGCTGTGGGCATATGGGCCATTTCTCTTCTTTTCTTTTTTTAATTTTATTTATTTTAGAAAGAGAGAGCAAGCAAACAAGCACAACAGGGGGAGGGGCAGAGAGAGAGAATCTTAAGCAGACTCTGTAGGGGAGCACAGAGCCCGACATGGGGCTTGATCTCAACCCTGAGAACATGACCTGAGCTGAAATCAAGAGTCAGACACTTAACCAACTGAGCCACCCAGGCGCCCCCAGCATGTGGGCTATTTCTAGTTCTTGCCTATTATGAATAACTTCGCTGTGAAGAATCCTGGGATTTTTCTTTTTTTTGTATGTTGTCTCTAATACAGCCACTCTTCCAACATTGGAACAGACTTCTCATTTGCTGTTGTATATGTTTTTTAAGAGACTTCATCTTTAAAAGCAGTTTTAGGTTCATGGGAAAATTGGGCAGAAGGTATAGGGCTTTCCTAAATATTCTCTCCTCCCACCTGCCTTCCCTCACCATCGACATACATTTGTTACAATCAATGAACATACACTGACACATCATTATCACCCCAAGTCCATAGTTTCCATGAGGGTCCACTCTTAGTGTTGTGCATTCCATGGGTTTTGACAAATGTATAATGATATGTATCCATCATTAGGGGTAACAAACAGAATCATTTCATTGCCCTAAAAATCCTCTGTGCTCCACTTACTTATCCCTCCTTCCCCCCAAGCCCTGACAATCACTGGTCCTTTCATCATTTCCATAGTTTTCCTTTTCCAGGATGTTCTACAGCTGGAATCATACAGTTGTAGCCTTTCTGAAAAACCTTCTTTCACTTAGTAATATGCTTTTAAGATTGCTCCCTGTCTTTCCATGGCTTGATAGCCCATTTCCTTTTAGCACTGAATGATATACCCTCATTGGGTTGTGCCAAGTTTGTTTATCCATTCACCTACCGAAGGACATCTCAGTTGCTTCCAAGTTTTGGTAATTATGAATAAAGCTGCCATAAACATCTATGTGCAGGTTTTGTGTGGACATATGTTTTTGACTCCTTGGAGTGTAATTGCTGGATCATATGGTAAGAGTATGTTTAGCTTTGTAAGAAACTGCCAAACTGTCTTCCAAAGTGGCTGTCCCATTTTGCATTCCCTCCAGCCATGGATGAGAGAGTTCCTGTTGTTCAGCATCCTCACCAGCATTTGGTGCTGTCAGTCTTTTGGATTTGGGCCATTGTAATAGGTGTACATAGTAGTATCTTACTGTTTTAAGTTGCAATTCCTTAATGACATCTGATGTTCAACATCTTTTCATATGTTTATTTGCCATCTGTATATATTCTTTGATGAAGTGTCTGTTCAGGTCTTTGGCCCATTTTTAAATAGGTTGTTTATTTTTTTATTATTAAATTTTAAGGGTTCTTAGTATATTTTGGATAACAGCCCTTTATCAGATACGTATTTCATAGATATTTTCTCCCAGCCTGCAACTTGTCTTCTCATTCTCTTGACTTTCATAAAGCAGAATTGTTAATGTTCATTGAATCTAGCTTACCAATTCTTTCTTCATGGATTATCACTTTGTGTCTAAACATCACCAGACCCAAGGTCATCTAGATTTGCTCCTATGTTATCTTCCGGGAGTTTTATGGTTTTACATTTCACACTTAGGTCAATGATCTATTTTGAGCTAGTTTTTAAATGAAAGGCATAAAGTCTGTTTCTAAATTTATTATTTTGCGTGTGGATGTCCAGTTGTCCCAGCACCATTTTTTGAAAAGTTTATATTTGCTCCATGGTATAGACTTTGCTCCTTTGTCAGAGATCAGTTGATTATATTTGTGTGAGTCTGCTTCTGAGCTCTCTATTCTGTTCCACTGATTATTTGCCAGTAACACAGGGCTTGATTACTGTAGCTTCTTTGTAAGTCTTGAAGTTGGGTAGTGTCAGTCCTCCAACTTTGCTCTTCTCCTTTAATAATGTATTGGCTATTCTGAGTCTTTTGCCTCTCCATATAAACTTTAGAATCAGTTTGTCAGTACCCACCAGATAACTTGCTGGGATTTTGATCGGGATTGTGTTAAATCTATAGATCAAGTTGGGAGGAACTGATATCTTGACAGTACTGAATCTCCTTACCTATAAACATGAACTAGCTCTGTTTATTTGATTCTTTGATCCATCATCAGAATTTTGTGTTTTTCCTCATATAAATCTTGTACATATTTTGTTAGTTTTATTTTTTATTTTATTTTTTAGAGAGAGAGATTGTACAAGTGGGGGAGGGGGTGGGAGGGGCAGAGGGATAGGCAGAAAGAATCTTAAGCAGGCTCCATGCTCAGTGGGGAGCCCAACTCGGGGCTCAATCTCATGATCCTGAGATCATGACCTGAGCTGAAATCGAGTCAGATGCCCAACTGACTGAGCCACCCAGGTGCCCCTTGTTAGTTTTATATGTAAGCATTTCTTTTTTTGAGAGTGCTAATGAAAATGGTATTGTGTTTTCGACCTCAAATTCCACTTGTTCATTGCCGGTACATAGGAAATGAAGTCTTGTATAGTAACTCTGTATTCTGTAACCTTGCTATAATGGCTTACTAGTCCAGGAGTTTTTTGATGATTCTTTGAGATTTTCTACATAGATGATCATGTCATCTGGCAACAAAGTTTTATTTATTTCTTCCCCATCTGTATACAGGTATTTCTGCTTTTCTAAACTTCGTATTAGGCCACTTCCCTTTTATAAAAGACCTATATTTGTACCTGCTAACCAAAAGAAAACTAAAGAGGAAGACATCCTTGCTTTTGTTCCTGACCTTAGTAGGAAAACTTTAAGTATGTAAGGTTTTTGTACATGTTCTTTATCAAGTTCAGGAAGTTCTCTATTCCTAGTTAACTGAGAGCTTTTATTATGAATGGGTGTTAGATTTTATCAAATGCTTTTTCTTCATCTATTGATATAATCATGTGATTTTTCTTCTTTAGCTTGTTGATATGAGGGATTACATGAATTGATTTTCAAACATTGAAACAACCTTGCATACCTGGAAAAAATCCCACTTGATCATGATGTACAATTCTTTTTTATTCATTGTTCAATTCAATTTGCTAATATTTTGTTGAGGATTTTTACATCTGCGTCCATGAGAAATACTGGTCTGTAGTTTCCTTTTCTTGTAATGTCTTTGCCTGGATTTGGAATTAGGTTAATGCTGGTCTTACAGAATGAGTAAGTATTCCCTCTGTTTCCATCTTTTGGAAGAGATTGTAGAGAACTGGTAAAATTTCTTCCTTAAATATTTGGTAGAATTTGCCAGTAAACCCATCTGGGTCTGGTGCTTTCTGTTTTGAAGGTTATTAATTATTGACTCAATTTCCTTAATAGATACAGGCCTATTCAGATTGACTATTTATTTGCTGCATATATTTTTAAAAGTATAT